TCTGGACCAGGACTGGACTGGTTCTAGCTTTTCAGAACTAGCTGGACATTCTAAAGGCTCTGCTCAAATTTTTGATTGTCAGCAGCTTTTAGCTCAGAGTGTTAGCATATGTTAGCTCAGGTGTTAGCAACTGTTAGCTCAGAGTGTTAACATATGTTAGCTCAGGTGTTAGCAGCTATTAGCTCAGAGTGTTAGCAGATGTTAGCTCAGAGTGTTAGCAGATGTTAGCTCAGGTGTTAGCAACTGTTAGCTCAGAGTGTTAGCAGATGTTAGCTCAGAGTGTTAGCAGATGTTAGCTCAGGTGTTAGCAACTGTTAGCTCAGAGTGTTAGCAGATGTTAGCTCAGTGTTAGCAACTGTTAGCTCAGAGTGTTAGCAGATGTTAGCTCAGGTGTTAGCAACTGTTAGCTCAGAGTGTTAACATATGTTAGCTCAGGTGTTAGCAGCTATTAGCTCAGTGTTAGCAGATGTTAGCTCAGAGTGTTAGCAGATGTTAGCTCAGGTGTTAGCAACTGTTAGCTCAGAGTGTTAGCAGATGTTAGCTCAGAGTGTTAGCAGATGTTAGCTCAGGTGTTAGCAACTGTTAGCGCAGAGTGTTAGCAGATGTTAGCTCAGGTGTTAGCAACTGTTAGCTCAGAGTGTTAACATATGTTAGCTCAGGTGTTAGCAGCTATTAGCTCAGAGTGTTAGCAGATGCTAACTCAGATGTTAGCAGCTTCAGCTGATGTGAAATCTTACATCGTTCTGGTGTAAGATTTAAACTTAAGGTGAATCTTGTTTTCATGAACTAGAATCCAGAATCATCTGAATGAATAGATTGGACATATTTTCTTCCTTAAGATGCTCTACCCGTCCTGCTCCAGGTGTTCCTCAACCTATCCAGTGAAGGAGTGGACTATGACTGCTTCCACAGCATCAGCGGCTGCTTCCTGCCCTTCGATGGCCGCCTCGTGATTAACAGCCGCTTCCTGACAAGTGACGCCTCCATCTACGGCGCCGGCCCGCTCACCAGGTTCTCCTGCAGCTACTACGCAGACGAATGGTCGCATGCCAACTTCAGCTCCCAGGACGTGGGTCGTGACGTGGCGGCGGTGCTGCTGGAGCTTCTGGACCCGACCCGGGAGGCGCCAGACGACCCGCCCTCCGAGCCCGAGCCGCTCATCCCGCTCTACAGTCGGCCCAGGATCCGAGGTCCGTTTCCCACTTCTTTTCAGAACCCGTCCAGGATCTGTGCATTGGGCGGGAACAGCAAGATATCAGCCCCTCACCCGCTACGCGCCGGCGGCTCAGAGCGCCACTGAGGCCACCAACACGCTCAGTGCTGCAGCTGCTGCTGCTGCTGCTGCTGCTGCTGCTGCTGATGATGATGATGATGATGATGATGATGATGATGATGCTGCTGCTGCTGATGCTGATGATGATGATGATGATGCTGCTGCTGCTGCTGCTGCTGCTGCTGATGATGATGATGATGATGATGATGATGATGATGATGATGATGATGCTGCTGCTGCTGCTGCTGCTGCTGCTGATGATGATGATGATGATGATGATGATGATGATGATGATGATGATGATGCTGCTGCTGCTGATGATGCTGCTGCTGATGATGATGATGCTGATGATGATGATGCTGATGATGATGCTGCTGCTGATGATGATGATGCTGATGATGATGATGCTGATGATGATGATGCTGATGATGATGCTGCTGCTGATGATGATGATGCTGATGATGATGCTGCTGATGATGATGCTGCTGCTGATGATGATGCTGCTGCTGCTGATGATGATGATGATGCTGCTGCTGATGATGCTGATGATGATGATGCTGCTGATGATGATGATGCTGATGATGCTGCTGCTGATGATGCTGATGATGATGATGCTGCTGATGATGATGATGCTGATGATGCTGCTGATGCTGATGATGCTGCTGATGATGCTGATGATGATGATGCTGCTGATGATGATGCTGCTGCTGCTGATGCTGCTGCTGATGATGATGATGATGCTGATGCTGCTGCTGATGATGATGATGCTGCTGCTGCTGATGATGATGATGATGATGCTGATGATGATGCTGCTGATGATGATGATGATGCTGATGATGCTGCTGCTGATGATGATGCTGCTGATGATGATGCTGATGCTGCTGCTGATGATGATGATGATGCTGATGCTGCTGCTGATGATGATGATGCTGCTGCTGCTGCTGATGATGATGATGATGCTGATGATGATGCTGCTGATGATGATGATGATGCTGATGATGCTGCTGCTGATGATGATGCTGCTGATGATGATGATGCTGATGATGCTGCTGATGATGATGCTGCTGATGATGATGATGCTGATGATGCTGCTGCTTTCATTCAACCACAGAAACCAAACATCGGTTTCTCCCCATCCCCCTGGACCTGTCCCGGTCTAACGTCCAGCGTGTCTCTGTCTGTCTGCAGGAGCAACTCTTCCTGGTGGATTTCACTTCCTGCATGTAACCAAACCCAGTTCCAGCTTCCAGACCAGCCATCGTTTCCAGCTGGTGAGTTCCTGTCAGACCTGGTTAGTCTACTTTAGCTGAACTGGCTGCTTCTTCATTGATTAGCTGCCAGGGAGTAGATCTACCTAACCAGCACCAGCACAGTGCTTTAAAAGTGCTCTGTGGTGAGTCTGTGATTCATGAACCAAACCTGTAGCAGCAAATTTACTCTGACAAACGTAAGTAAAATTAAAAAGTATTTACTTTAAATGTTACTTCAGAACATCTGGTACTTCTTGGTACTCATCATGTTCTCCTTCGGCATCAATATTGTTGACTTTAACATGTTAGCTTTAGCTAAACAGCAACATGATTTGTGCTTCATAGTTAGTGCAGCTAACTTTCTAGTTAGCAGTGCTTTCCCCATCTATGTGTATATCTTTAAACACCTAAAATAAATGTAACTAGTTACTTCCAGAACTGAAACCGGGTCACTGGTTTGGTCCAGTAGAACCATGCCAAAGGAAATCAGCCATCTTTAGCTGATTTCTCCTGACTCTGTCGGGTCTGGGGGTTTCCTGTTGGTTTCATTGCCGTGGAAACGGATCAGAACCGGTCATGTTTTCCTCCGTGTGGCGCCACAGGATGAAGCGATAGTGACAGGAGCAGCGCAGAGCGGTGACTACTTCCGGATCCAGCTGAGTGAACTGCAGCTGGTGGAGAGCCTCACCTGTCTGTCCCTGAAGCCGCTCCCAGTGAGGAACTACCTGAGTCTGTTCGGCCGGCACCAGGAGCTGCTGGGCCAGCTCCTGGACCGGTACCGCCTGGGGCTGGTGCCCGACCTCTACAGGTGGGACTGGAACCAGTGGGACTGTTCTGGTTCTGGTCAAAGTGAACCCGGTTCTGACCCGTCTCCTCCTGTTCTGGTGTTTTTCTAGTTTCTTCACACAGAGGGGCTGTCTGCCCATTTTCCACGACCGCTTCCCGGACCTCCACCAGAGGGCGCTGCAGCTACTGACCTGTCGGCTCAAGGTGCGTCAGCTCCTTGCTGAGGATGATGATGGAGGCCTTCATCTTCCTCCTCAGCCTCAGAGTTGGTTTGGTAGAGAAGGAAAAGCAACTTCCTGTAGAAACCAGTGTTTCCTCCTCTGTAGCGCGGCGGAGACCTGGAGTCGCTCAGCCTCCATCTACCAATCAGGATGGACCCAGAGACCCGGGCCGCTCTGAGGAACCGAGCGCTGGCATTGCTGGTGGACAACCAGAACCTGCTGCCCATGTTCTACATCCCGGAACGACCCGCACCCTTCGGACACTCCGGGCACTCCCCGGGACACTACGGACACTTCAGACACAACAACCACTCTGGGCACTTCCCTGGACACTCTGGACACTCCCCTGGACACTCTGGACACTTCCCTGGACACTCTGGACACTCCGCTGGACACTCCCCTGGACACTCTGGACACTCCGCTGGACACTCTGGACACTCCGCTGGACACTCTGGACACTCCCCTGGACACTCTGGACCTTTAGCTCAGATCTGACCTTCCTGGTGTCACTGGAACCATTCTCATCTAAAGGTTCAATAAAAAGTTGTGACCTTTGACCTTTTGTCTTGTGGTAATTATGCTCTACACTTTTAAAGGACCTAGAAACCTTTATAAACCCTGTTGGGCTGCAACACACAGCAACCTGGTTCCAAAATAAAACCAATCAATAATATTCACAAATGGAAAACAATAATAACAAGTTAGAAGCAGAAACATGTTTCCACAAACTCTTGTCGCCTGTTTTTAAGAACCGATCGAAATAAATCCAATGAAATCATTTCCGACATTGAGTTGAGACGAGTTGATTCCAGGCCTTTTCAGTTCAAACACGTCCAACATACAGAAGAAAAACCAACAGATCTGTTAGAGAGATTCTTACGCTGGCAGCAGCCGAGTCCACATTTATAAACCAGGATCATGAAATGATTGTTTCTCTGTTCACTTAAAGGAGCCCATTCAGCTTTTGCATGAAAATCACAAAGATGTGTCAAACAGCTGCTGAAGGTTAGAAACCCAGATGTAAAGAATGTCGACCCACCAAAACACAGAAGAAGAAAACCTGGAGGATTTCTGAAGACAAGACGATAATAATCCATGATCAATAAAACACCATGGATCCTGTTTGACCCTGAATGACCTCTGTCTCAGCTGGAACATCTGGATCCAGCCTGAGGTGATCCAGATGTTCCTCAGAACCAGCAGAATAAAGTTCTGATCAGTCCGGTTCTGGCAGAACCTGGTCTGGCAGAGATGTGTGTGTGTGTGTGTGTGTGGTGTGTGTGTGTGTGTGTGTGTGTGTGTGTGTGTGTGTGTGAGAAACACAATAAACCCCTCAGGTACATCTGCTCCCCTCCTCCCCGAGGGGAGCGGGGCGGCTCCTGATTGGTGGAGGCGCAGGCGGCGCGGGCGGCGCGGTGTCATCCTGTGGTCTTAAAGCGGAGTGTTGTTGTGAGAGGAGACTGGATCAGAACCACACAGTGGATGTTCGGCTTTACGCGCAGCGCAGCGTGGATTTGTTTCGCCCCCCGTCCGAACTGAACATGCCCAGAGGCTTCCTGGTGAAGCGCAGCCGGAAGCCCGGCCCGGCGTCCTACCGGGTCCTGTCCCGGGAGGAGGACGCGCGAGGAGCCGCCGCCGATGCGCCGCCACCGCAGCAATTCTCCATGCCGAGCCGCGCGCACACCTGCAGGGCGGCGGCCGCTGCCCCGGAACCGGACCCTACCGGCAAGCAGGTACAGTTCGGAAACCCGGAGACGGTGTACCGGGTTCTCTACAGCCCGACCCGGCCCGTCAGCCGGGACATTAAGGGCTCCCCGGAGCGGCGCTGCAGCCTCGGATCCCCGGCCTCAGCGGAGTCCTTCCCCGCACTGGAGCACCTGTTCGGCCCGGCGGATCTGAAGGCCAGCGTGGCGGCCGCCGGGGCGCTCCTCGCCGCGGGCGCCAAGCAGCCGACGGGCGATGCAGAGCGCCGGGGCAAAGCTGCCAGCTCCAAGAGCACCAAAGCCTTCCGGAAGCTGCATTTTGAGGATGACGTCACCACGTCCCCGGTCCTGGGGCTCAAGATCAAAGAGGCTCCAGTGGAGCTGAGGCCGGCGGCGGGAGAGCGCCACCCGCCGGGGGGGCTGGTGTGCCAGCTGTGCCGGGAAGCCTACCCGGACCCGTTCTCCCTAGCGGAGCACCGCTGCTCCAGGATCGTCCGGGTCGAGTACCGCTGCCTGGACTGCGACAAGGTGTTCAGCTGCCCGGCCAACCTGGCCTCCCACCGCCGCTGGCACAAACCCAAGCCGCCCGGCGAGCCGCACGGCGAGCCGCCCGCGCCCCCCAAAGACAGCAGCGACCGAGACTCCTCCAGTCCCGAACCCTCCGAGTCCGGTTCCGAGGACGGGCTGTACGACTGCCCGCGGTGCGGGAAGCGCTTCAAGCGCCAAGCGTACCTGCGGAAGCACCTGGCGGGTCACCGCGCAGAGCTGCGTCCGCTCGACCTGAGCGCGTCTCCCAGCCACGCGTGTCCGGTGTGCGGGGAGCGCTTCAGCAGCAGCGGGGGCAGAGAGCGCCACCTGCGGCTGCTGCACTCGGCCCAGGTGTTCCCCTGCCAGCACTGCCCCGCCCTGCTGCACAGCTCGCCGGGACTCACCCGACACGTCAACAAGTGTCACCCGTCCGAGAGCCGCCAGGCGATCCTGCTGCAGGTGCCGCTGCGCCCTGCCTGCTGAGCTCCGGTCCGGTCCGGTCCGGTCCGGTCACTGAGAAGCTGTAATAGATCCGTGGATCATAGAGTAGCCGCGCTGCCTGCTGGGAAACCGCCTTAAATCTTATTGTTATTTATTAATGATATCAATTATTAATATTATTAAGTTATTGCTGTGACGTTCAAGTGTCTTTTAAACAATTTGTGATTTTCTGACCCGCCTCTGCGTCATCATCATCATCATGGATTGATCTCTTGTTCTGGATGTTTTTCATTTTTGCTAAATGTCCAAAAACAATAAAACCAAACTGAGATTTTCTGCTTTCTGTTGGATTTTTCTGCAACCAAATAATCAGGTTATTAATAATTAGTTACGTTATTATCATCTGAGCTTGAAGGCATCTTCAATCTTCAATTTCTTTATTTTTTTTAGCTGTTTTAAAATTAAATGTATTTTCAAGATGATTCTGTATTACATATATTCTCATCCTTATTTCTGCTGCAGGATTTACAGTCATTCAATAAATTAGAATATTATTGAAACTTTATTACAAAATGAAACATAATGAAGATGAATTACACATTTTTATTTCCCAGCCTTTATTTCTCTTACTTTTGCTGAAAACTCCACATTTCGATTGATTGGATATTGATTATATGACACAGCTCAGGTTATTCTCAAAAGGTATTTTAATCAGACAAATGTGACTCATCAGAAACATATTATAATTTATGACTAAACTCATTTGCTTCAGTAACAATTATGCAGATGGAAAATAGTTTTTAGGTGCATTTTCAACAGAAACCTAAAAATTAATATAAAACCAAACTTATTTTAAATTTATTATCATTTTTATGTCAAAGGAACATTTCAGAATAATAAAAAACCCATTGTAATCATAAAAGTATATATTTCAAATAAACCTTTAGCTTCCAATAATACATTTAATGATATAAATGAGAAAAATCTTTTCATAAGTTTATCATTCATGTTTTTGGATGAAATCATGAAGCAAAAGACGCCAAAAAGATGAATTATTTCCATTTTCTGATCAGAAAATCAGCAGCTATCAATTATTATTTGAATAAAAATAAAAACAGAAACAATGAAAATGTTTCAGTGGAAACAACTCAGAGCTCCTCTCTCATCTATGAGGTCAGAGGTCAACCTGTCATCCGTGTTTCACTCAGATTATTCCATTCCTGCAGTCGATGATGGAAAACATGAACAGGTGACCTTTTCCTGCAGGTGACCTTTCGTCCAGCACTGGAAGCTGATTGGTCAGAACCCACCTGTCAACAGGTATGGATCTGATTGGCCGAAGAAGAAAACAGCAGCTGATCGATGCTGCCAGTTATTTCCTGCCTCATCAATACCTCATTTCCTGTCAGAGCGTCAGCTGACCTCGCGACCCGAACTCTAGATTTAGAAGAACATGAAAACTACAGAATATGTTAAAACTGATCTGCACTGCAGTTCAAATACAAGCTGAGAGAGAAAATCCTTCCTGAAGGTGAAAACATATCACAGATTTCAAAAGAAAATATAAACGGGATGATAATATAGGAAATAGCGCCCCCTTCACTTCTGGAGTGCAACAGTCCCATTTCCAAAAGAGGTCTGATTGACAGCGGTATGTCCCGCCCCTTCCTGTTAGCTGCGTTCATTTCCGGTTCCTCCGTAAGGGGGCGAAATCTTTGCTCAATTTCTGACTGTGAAGTTACACAGTCAGAAATTAGAAATGATATCTTTACCTCATGTATTTATAAATGTCACAGTTTCAAGCTAAATGTTTATCTTCAGTTTATCGTTAGCATTATCAAGCCAAAACCGAAAATATTTAGTTTATTAACTAAACATTCAACTCGTAAGCTAAATATTCAGCTTCATGTTTCTGCTTCTGGTGGTGAACTTATGAGTTCTGGAGCGGTTCTGGTGTCAGAGTCGTGTTCTGGTTCTGTTGGTGTTGATTATCTAATGAATGAATCTTTTTGCTGACCATCATTTACTGAAAAAACTAATCAGTTGATCTAGTGAGACAACTGATAAAAAGGAACCAAGTTAAGTTTGAGTAACTTTGTTAAGTCATTAACATTAATAAACATGAATAAAGTAAATTTGATGAATTTCATCCAATTTCTGGTGACCAATTATACCAATTTATTTAAGTTGGAGCTCCAATCAGTTTTACAGTGTTACATTTTTGCAGTTGTTGATTTGTTGAAATGTAACATTTTAAAAATTTTAGTCCGACTAATTGAGGCATCTTTGCTGCAGCAGGTTTGTAATTCCTTGACTCTCTGAAAACAGAGATTTTGGGAGCGCCGGGCGGAGCTAGCGTGTTGGAGTTAACTTGTTGAGTTAGCTTGTTGGAGTTAGCCTGTTGGAGTTAGCTTGTTCTGGAGTTAGCCGTTGTAGTTAGCCTGTAGTTTAGTTGTTGAGAGCTTGTTAGCTTGAGTTAGCCTGTTGAGTTAGTTTTGGAGCCTGTTGGAGTTAGCTGTTGAGTTAGCTTGTGTAGTTAGCCTGTTGGAGTTAGCTTGTTGGAGTTAGCTTGTTGAGTTAGCCTGTTGGAGTTAGCTGTTGGAGTTAACTTGTTGGAGTTAGCTTGTTTTAGTTAGCCTGTTGGAGTTAGGTTGTTGGAGTTAGCTTGTTGGAGTTAGCCTGTTGGAGTTAGCTTGTTGGAGTTAGCCTGTTGGAGTTAGCTTGTTGGAGTTAGCCTGTTGGAGTTAGCTTGTTGGAGTTAGCTTGTTGTAGTTAGCCTGTTGGAGTTAGCTTGTTGGAGTTAGCCTGTTGAAGTTAACTTGTTGGAGTTAGCTTGTTGGAGTTAGCCTGTTGGAGTTAGCTTGTTGGAGTTAGCTTGTTGTAGTTAGCCTGTTGGAGTTAGCCTGTTGGAGTTAGCCTGTTGGAGTTAGCTTGTTGTAGTTAGCCTGTTGGAGTTAGCCTGTTGGAGTTAGCTTGTTGGAGTTAGCCTGTTGGAGTTAGCCTGTTGGAGTTAACTTGTTGGAGTTAGCTTGTTTTAGTTAGCCTGTTGGAGTTAGGTTGTTGGAGTTAGCTTGTTGGAGTTAGCCTGTTGGAGTTAGATTGTTGGAGTTAGCCTGTTGGAGTTAGCTTGTTGGAGTTAGCTTGTTGGAGTTAGCCTGTTGGAGTTAGCTTGTTGGAGTTAGCCTGTTGAAGTTAACTTGTTGGAGTTAGCTTGTTGGAGTTAGCCTGTTGGAGTTAGCTTGTTGGAGTTAGCTTGTTGTAGTTAGCCTGTTGGAGTTAGCGTGTTGGAGTTAGCCTGTTGGAGTTAGCCTGTTGGAGTTAGCTTGTTGTAGTTAGCCTGTTGGAGTTAGCTTGTTGGAGTTAGCTTGTTGTAGTTAGCCTGTTGGAGTTAGCATGTTGGAGTTAACTTGTTGGAGTTAGCTTGTTTTAGTTAGCCTGTTGGAGTTAGCTTGTTAAAGTTAGCTTGTTGGAGTTAGCCTGTTGGAGTTAGCTTGTTGGAGTTAGCCTGTTGGAGTTAACTTGTTGGAGTTAGCTTGTTGGAGTTAGCCTGTTGGAGTTAGCTTGTTGGAGTTAGCTTGTTGTAGTTAGGCTGTTGGAGTTAGCTTGTCTTAGTTAGCCTGTTGGAGTTAGCTTGTTGGAGTTAGCTTGTTGTAGTTAGCTTGTTGTAGTTAGGCTGTTGGAGTTAGCCTGTTGGAGTTAACTTGTTGGAGTTAGCTTGTTGTAGTTAGCCTGTTGGAGTTAGCTTGTTGTAGTTAGCCTGTTGGAGTTAGCTTGTTGGAGTTAGCTTGTTGGAGTTAGCCTGTTGGAGTTAGCTTGTTGTAGTTAGCCTGGTGGAGTTAGCTTGTTGGAGTTAGCCTGTTGTAGTTAGCCTGTTGGAGTTAGCCTGTTGGAGTTAACTTGTTGGAGTTAGCTTGTTGGAGTTAACTTGTTGGAGTAAGCTTGTTGGAGTTAGCCTGTTGGAGTTAACTTGTTGGAGTTAGCTTGTTGGAGTTAGCTTGTTGGAGTAAGCTTGTTGGAGTTAGCCTGTTGTAGTTAGCTTGTTGGAGTTAGCTTCTTGTAGTTAGCTTGTTGGAGTTAGCTTGTTGGAGTTAGCTTGTTGGAGTTAGCCTGTTGTAGTTAGCCTGTTGGAGTTAGCCTGTTGGAGTTAACTTGTTGGAGTTAGCTTGTTGGAGTTAACTTGTTGGAGTAAGCTTGTTGGAGTTAGCCTGTTGGAGTTAACTTGTTGGAGTTAGCTTGTTGGAGTTAGCTTGTTGGAGTAAGCTTGTTGGAGTTAGCCTCTTGTAGTTAGATTGTTGGAGTTAGCTTCTTGTAGTTAGCTTGTTGGAGTTAGCTTGTTGGAGTTAGCCTGTTGGAGTTAGCCTGTTGGAGTTAGCTTGTTGGAGTTAGCTTGTTGGAGTTAGCCTGTTGGAGTTAGCTTGTTGTAGTTAGCCTGTTGGAGTTAGCCTGTTGGAGTTAACTTGTTGAAGTTAGCTTGTTGTAGTTAGCCTGTTGGAGTTAGCTTGTTGTAGTTAGCCTGTTGGAGTTAGCTTGTTGGAGTTAACTTGTTGGAGTTAGCTTGTTGTAGTTAGCCTGTTGGAGTTAGCTTGTTGTAGTTAGCCTGTTGGAGTTAGCTTGTTGGAGTAAGCTTGTTGGAGTTAGCCTGTTGGAGTTAGCTTGTTGGAGTTAGCTTGTTGTAGTTAGCCTGTTGGAGTTAGCATGTTGGAGTTAGCCTGTTGGAGTTAGCTTGTTGTAGTTAGCTTGTTGGAGTTAGCTTGTTGGGGTTAGCCTGTTGGAGTTAACTTGTTGGAGTTAGCCTGTTGAAGTTAACTTGTTGGAGTTAGCTTGTTGGAGTTAGCCTATTGGAGTTAGCTTGTTGGAGTTAGCCTGTTGGAGTTAGCTTGTTGTAGTTAGCCTGTTGGAGTTAGCTTGTTGGAGTTAGCCTGTTGGAGTTAACTTGTTGGAGTTAGCCTGTTGGAGTTAGCTTGTTGGAGTTAGCCTGTTGGAGTTAGCTTGTTGGAGTTAGCCTGTTGGAGTTAACCTGTTGGAGTTAGCTTGTTGGAGTTAACCTGTTGGAGTTAGCCTGTTGGAGTTGGCTTGTTGGAGTTAGCCTGTTGGAGTTAGCTTGTT